CCCCCGCAGCAGCGGCGGCAGCCCGCTACTACCTCCACAGCAGCCGCAGCCGATAGGAGGGGCAGGGGGGGGAGGTTTTTTCGGACGGCTTAGGGTCACGTCCAACCCGCCTCATTAACGCCGTGAGGTCACGCGTTGCACGTACAGTCCCCATGCAAGGGGTCCGCTGACTCCACAGCGTTGAGCGGAACGGCTCCGCTAGACCCTTCCACAATGTGGGTGATGGGTGAATTTACAGGGGGGGGGGGGCAAAAAATAGCTGGACCAACGGTTATCACAGTGACGCCAACTCAACTTAAATCTGATGATTCCATGGGCTGCACGGCTGATGTCCAGGACAGGTAGAACGGGTAGAACTCCAGGCCGATATCTTCCTGCAACAAAACCAAGAGGCAGTTTTAGTCGAAGAAACAGCATGTAAAAGAGTCAAGAAGCACGCAATTTCGACGGAGGAGGTCAAAGGCGACACTCCTAGACCAGTCCCGACCATTCCCAGCGATTTTCAAATTTTTCATTTTTGGCCAAATTCACAAAGGCTATAGCCTTTGTGTTTTTAGCGAAAATTGATGGGTCTGGGTTTCGACGGAAAGGTAGCCGAATCGACAGGGGTGAACCAGAGGACCACAAAACTACTTTCGGTTCCGTCAGAAACCACCCCTGTCCTAAGAAACTTGAGTTTTAAGGGGTGGTCTTTTGAATCTGGCGGGCAGCGTACACCGGGCTGCCTACCTAGCAGGCGCGTTCAAGACAAACAGGCATAACTCACTTAAAATGGCCCGGCGGCGTGAAATTTCGACGGAGAGATTGAAAGAGGATGCTGTCGGACCAATCCCAACCATTTCCAGCGATTTTAAAAATTTTGATTTTTGGCCAAATTTACAAAGGCTACATACAGCCTTTGTGTTTTTAGCGAAAATTGATGGGTCTGGGTTTCGACGGAAAAGTTGTCGAATCGACAGAGGTGAACCAGGGGACCACAAAACTACTTTTGGTTCCGTCAGAAACCACCCCTGTCCTCAGAAACTTGAGTTTTAGGCGGTGGTCTTTCGAACTGTGGGCTGTGGGCAGGTTGTCTACGTAAAGCGCACAAGCTACAGTAACAGGAAAAGAACTCTGCTGTAGTGAGTCGGCTCCATAATATTTACTCAGAGCAAGTGAAAGGGGAATCTGCCTGACCAATCCAAACCTATATTGAGGGGGGAGGGTTGAAATTGTCAGGGAAGAACCAAGGCACCACAAAAACCATTAAAAACCGAACTTTGATGCACACCAAAGGGAGCTTCTCACAGAGAACAGAAGCAAATTGGACCAAATTTTGATACCTTCATGTCAACTCACCTATACTCTCCGGGTAAAATGACTTCTACAGACTTCTTTGCTCGTGCCTGGAACCGGGCCGTGTTTCTGCAATCATATCAAATGGTACTTATAGAGCTACGTTTGCTTTCATTTACTCAACATTTAACAACTATTAATTACACATAATTTTACTTATACTATGGTAACTCAATTCACAATGGTATTTCTTTCTGAGAGAAAAACAACTTCTAAAGAAAGAAATACCATAGTAAATTTGAAAAAAATAATCCATATCATATTGGGAGTGGACTATTCAATCACCTCCCTCAGGAAATCAAGAATATCAAAAATGAAAATGACATGAATACAACACACCAAACACACTTTTCAATGCCTCTCCGCACACTCTAAATGACCATGGTCTTTCACATAACTAATTTGACACTGGACTCAAGTATTAAGTGTACGTAACACATATCTCTCTGCACATACTGTATGCTGTTGCACCACATCTCCTAGATACCTTTTCCGTATTTATTAGGACAGCTGCAAATTAGCTGCAAAGTACATTGATTGTTTTTTTTGTTGTTTTTTTGTTTTTTTATGGCTAAACCCTCAGTTGGACTATCAAAGCCTACACCCCAACCTGACCTAATACATTTTGCTGTTCCACAAAGAATGATACAGAGTAAAATATATGATACCTCGGTAGCAAAACCAGAAAAACTGCATCATGACTGCATTGTATGTCCAATCTCAGATATGCAGTTCTGGTCAGACGAGCAGGACACTCCCGGACGCACCGTGGTCCACGCCGCGCATCTCCGGGATGTGAGCCCGTAGGGTTCCCGATCGACGCAACTGGTGGCCGCAGTTGGGGAAGTAGAGCCCTAGGAGGACTCTATGGGGAACCTAAGGGAAGAATAATTGTGGCCGAGGACGCGGGAGGGTAGGCAATCCCGCCTCGCATGTCCGAGATGTGATCCTGAAGGGCTCCCGACCCCGCCCGTACGAAAAATATTAGTCCGGCATCAGTCCGTTTTCGGTCCGGAAAGAGTCCGGCTGGACAGTCCGTCATCTGTCCGCAAAGCGAGCGGACTAGTCTAGATAATTATCATCTGCTTCCAATCATCGATTCTTGATTGATATTATCTTTTTAGGTAATTCAAGCTTTAGAGGTACTTTCCTTGTAGGTAACGGTGCCCA